GGTTATAATCATAGGTCGCTTTAGTTGAAAAATAATTCTCGTTGAAAGATGATTTTTAATTATTTTTACTTTCCTACCTATACTAGGTAAGGAAGGTATTGCAATCAAGTAAAATTTCCGATATACGTTTTTTTGACGGATCTATACGTTTCAGAGCCCCCTGATTTCGAAAAACACATTTTTAGCCATTGGTCTGTCTGTCTGTGCCGAGATTTTCTCGGGAACTTCTGAACCGATTTTGTTGCTCCTTTTTTTATTTTGTAGGGTTTTGACTACTGATGCCTGTGACACAAATTGGATGCTCCATTTGTAATAAATTGAAAGACAGGTTTTTCCATTTTCCTATAGACTGTTGCACAAAAACGGCTCTAATGATTTTGATGAAACTTTTCTATAATGTTCTAATAATAGTCCTTTCAGTTTTTGTAAATGGATTTATTACTGTTCTACCTGTATTGTATATACTAGGTAAGAAAAGTATTGCGATCGGGTAAAATTTTCGATATACAGTTTTTACGGATGTTTACGTTAGCCTGAGTCCGAAAACACAGCCTGTTTTTTTGAAAGGTAATGAAATTCCCTTCAAAATTATATAAAAATCGTTCATTTTGGACAGCTTTCAACGAAGTTACAGCTATTCAATTTCTAATGTAAGATTACGGTTTCATATCCTGGTGTCAGAAAGAGGCGAATAAGAGAGTAAAAAGAAAGCTAAGTAAAAGTAAGAAAATTGCTGTCGCTTCACACAAGCTTCACTATTTCCTCTACTTTTAACAGAAACAGCAATATTAGAGGGTATTGAAATTTTTATACTGATCTAGGTTAAGCTGGTTTACATTGCTTTAGTTTATCGAATAAATCCTAGTCAAATCTTTTCTTTTATCAATTTTCAGGAAACTTGTAAATTTGTAAAAAAATAAAAACTTTTCTGAAATAGGTAGGAAAGTCTTGTGTGTGGACACACCAGATTTTTTTGTTTCTATTCCAATTCATTTTGTATTAACTTTGAGTAATTTTAATCTGCTATAAATATCCTTGTTAATTTGATTTCAATACGCGATTGAGATTATGGTCCTTGACATTATCTGAAAATATCTATTTTAAGGACAAAATCAATTATCACTGGCTGTCCTTTATTCAGAAGTTTACCTGTTCACACTTTTAAGACATGTGATTGTAAATTATTTTTTCTCTCAAGAGGTTAAAATATGTCGACTGATTCATACCTTGTAGAAAAAAAAAAAATCTTGTTACATGTCTTACATATGTTATTTTAAGTCGAAACACGATTAACACATATTTCAAGATTTTTCCATAATGATTGATGTTAATATATTTACATAAACCCGTCATGTCTAACAAGTGTTGTAATTTTGTAATAAGGTTACTGCACAGTAGACTGGTTAAGGAGGTAGGCAACAGAGCGGGTAATGCTTCAACACAAACTTAAAGCTCCAATGAATATTCCTCAGGACTGATAAGATAATTTTCACTTTTCTAAGATAGATGAGTTCTAATTATTCAGTTTGTTTTTCCGACGCTCTACTGAATCTTCTAATGGCTTACTCTATCTAACTTGTGAAATATTATGTTGAATATTTAATAGTTGCATTATAAAGGAAGGAGATGGTCCGGACTAAATAGTGGCAAACTATTTTATTAAAAGCCAACGTCAGATTTAAGTGAACTCCTAGCTGAACACACCTCCTTGAAGAAGACCTGCAAAGTCGGGTTGAAACGTTGGCTTTTAATAAAATAATTTTGCCAGTATTTAGCCTATTTATGACCTCCACCCCGGACCATCTCCTTCCTTTGTGAAATATTAGTTTTTTTTATTTTTAAAAATCATTATTTTCTCTGATGGCAATTAATTCGTATTTTTGAAGTGAATTAGAATGAGCCTTACATATCTGCGATGTGTAACGGCTCGGGTAAAGTCGCTTGGTGTCCATAATTGAAATATTTTTTTATTTTTTTGTTAAATTATCTCAAAAACTAAAAATCGGCCAGCATATTGTAGGCGAGGGAAATGTTCATAATTTTATATTCTTTGTAATGATTTATTATTAAAAATTGTATCTTAACATGACACCGTGATAGAGAGAATAAAAGAGAAGAAATAGTGTCGAAAACCCAATGATAACAAGTTTTATTGAACATATGGATTAAAATATATTAGAAACTAAAAATCGGATCTGGATACTAAAAGTAGTGTTGACCAAAATCGGTCTTGGTCTTGCACCATTGACTGGTAAAAAAATCGATTTTTTTAATCAAAATAGTTAAAAGGCAAAATAGTTACTAATACTCGACAATTTTAGTTACTATTTGTTATTAATTGGTATTACCAATATACTTTTGCATTTAACTCTTCTAAATTTTCATTCGGGCTTAGTTAGGTTTCTCCTATCTAAAAAAAATACAGTAATATCTATATGGTAATAAGTTAATAAGTAACTGCGAGACTCTTGCGCAAGACCAATGGTCTAAAGCACACTCTTATTAGTCTTTTTATTTATTTTTTTTTTTTTGGTGGGGGAGAAGGGATAGGAGAGGTTAAAATGCATGGTAGTACTTAGTAATATATAAGTTATTACTATAGTTCATGTGTTATATTGTGGGGTGGAGAGAGTGGGAGGGGGACGAATACTTATATGTTCAGAGATTTTAATTATAAATGGCTAAAACTTAATTAGAAAGAAATTCTTACATCGAACAGTTCAGAAGGTTTCCCATTCAAAAATTTGAGAACGATAAAATTATATTATAAATAGATATATATGTTGGGACGTAGAGCTAATCTCTAATCCGTTATCTACACTGCAGAGGGAGCATCTAGCAGAGTTAACAACCTCACGCCATGAGAACCTCTAAGCCAATGCATTCAGCCTTGAGTTCCCAATCTTATTTTTCTTAACGATTTACAAACCCTTTATCTGTCTCATATTTTTTTTTTCTTTTTTAACAGTCGCGACAAATTAGCATGTAAGATAAGAGAGGAATATCACGTTCAATTAATTTTATCATTTAACATTTTTAAATTTCTTATATTATTTATTATCGCTTTATACTAATTTAACTCCATGTTCCGGTATGCTGATACTGAACTGTTAGGCGCATTAGTATAAAGACGCAGAAACATTAAAATTAAATATAAAAACATTAATGAAAGCCGATAAACATGTACAGGGTGTTGACCTATTGAATAGTAGGTAAAGTCAGGGGATTTTTTTTGGACTTAGATAATTTGTTTTCAAATTGGAAATAAATATAAAGTTAATATCGTTTGTGACTTTGAAGGGGTTATAAGGTCGCTATATTCATCCGTCTTTGTTTATAACGGCAATGGTCGTTGTATTGAAATATGACAAGGATAATGAATAACATACCAATTTTTACTATTATACTTATACATACATAAATACATATACAAACATACTATTTTGAATATAATACATTTGGATCGATATCTTGCTGGCAAGTACTCATTCGTTTTACCCGTGGTGCTCCTTAAATGAGAATTTATTAGCCAGAAATGTCTCAGTTGGTATCATATGTATAATTATTATGCTGTTTATAAAAAAAATAAATTACTTATGAGAAACTATATTAATATTAGAATCCTCCCGTAGCTCACTTTATATGATAATCAGAGCTTTATATGCCAAGCATCAATTTTTACCTCCTCTCATTTTATGGAAATAAAATAATATCGATAATAATAAATTACTAAAAGTTTATAATGATGGTAGAGATGGTTGACCGTGATTTAATATGAGAAGGAGTTGATCCAGTGTTTGGAGTTGAAAGCCTGTGTATCAACTGCCTCCTGCAGTGCTAAATCCTCCGCCCTGATGTAGACCCGCTAAGTGGGTCGAAACGTCGGCATACAAATTAAATAATACTATTTCTAAAATTTATTATTTATTTGACCGCATCTCCTCCCCCCCCCCCAATCAACTCCTTGTCATACTAAAAGTTTAGTTTTCAAAAATAAAAAATTCTAATCAAGCTTTTTTTTTTTTGCTCAAATCGTTTTGTGATAAATTTTCTTTCACGTATAATAAATAAATTTAGTTATCAAGTATACATTTTTAAAATATGTGAATGCCAGACATATTGGCCAGGGAAAATTATCATTAAATAGGGAAAAGTCAAGAAATTTTACTGTCTGGTAGCCACCCTGATGTATGTATTTCCTGGACAGACTTAGTATAATGTATCCGCAATTACAAATACAGAATACTACTCGAAAAAAGTATTTATGAATATCCTATACGGTAATTATAGATGATAACTAGTATATACAATGCATACTTGATTAGATTACAATCCGTCGACTTTGGAAATCACCTCAGTTTTTTAATAATTTTTGTTTTTAGTTGGTAAAATTTTATATTTTAAAATTGAGATTCGTTCTTTCTTCAGAAAATTCCCCTTGGCTCATTTATCAAAATCAGTAGCTCCTGAGATCCAGAAAAGAGATCTATAGCTTTGTTATATAGAACTGTGTAACTTAAGTAACTAATGAACATTATAGAAAAAAAAGTATGAGTTACCTTTTAATGTTTATCTATTAACAAAAATTAGAAAACAATAAAAGAAACATAAATAAAAGTAATTAAAAACTAACGAATAATATATATATATAAATGTTTACAAAAATACCTGTTTACAATTTCATAGAGACTGGATAGAAAGGAAGTGATTGAACAGGCGGGATTTAAAGGTGGGGAGGGTATTGGAGGGACGTATGTTGGAAGGGGTGTAGTTCCATAGTGATAAGGAACGAATAATCTATATTAAATTTTTATTAAATAAGTATTATATAATTTTGGAACTTTATAAATCTGACATCTCTAGTTTTAACTAATGGTCTTGATGAGGAAACGAAGTGAAACTTCTAAACGCCTTCGTCGCCATGTTTTCATTTCCTCGGTATGCGTTGTCTTTTAAAGTGGTACAAGAACGCAAGGAGGAGAACCTGGAACCTCCTAGTCCTAGATGAAGCCAGAAGATATCCTCCTTCCTCGTCCTGGACAATCCTCCTGCCCCCTCCATATGCATGAGGGTGTAATTAGCTGTGTGACATAGGCGGCCCCTATCGGCCCACACATTTGCATGACATCTATGCTAATGTTGTCCGCTGCATTGTCAGCTCTGCTCCGAGCGAGGGAGTTCGCTGACCTCCCCCGCCAGATGTCGTTGTCATCTGCCAACAGCCTGTACTTATATTGTATTACTATCATGTTTCTCTATATTATTATTTTAAACTTGGGTTGGCAAATAAGTTTCGTAATTTTATTTATTGAAAATTAACATTGATAACTTATAAAAATCGTAATTGCTTCTTCTGTTACATCACCCTGTACAGCCTTTCAGCGTTAGGGAGCGTCTAACCAGGATTGCCAATTACCAAAAAAAAAAATCGTAAACGCACCCTGGTATATTTCAAATCACATCATACACAGCGACATAAATATTCCAACAGTAAAAAGCAACAGATATAACAAATACACCCTATTCTGCTCTTCAACTGTTAACCACCCTAATCCACTTGTCCTCTCTCTTTCTTCCTCCCTGTTAACAGGGGAGCCTCAAAGAAGACTAAAAAGGCAGTGGCCTCGAGATCTGATCACAATATGAATAAATTTTCAAGGAATAACAGACAAAACGAACGACAGAACATGTGCTAGATGCGTTCAAACGGAGTTGCAAATATAATATAAAATAAAATTAACATATAATTATTTTAATCTATGATGTATTGATCATTTTTTGGTGTGACTTATTCCCCTCTTTCCATTAATTACCTAATGCTACGTCCATAGAACATCAAAGGCTTATTTTAAAAAAAAAAAAAAAAAAAAAAAAAGATCAGAAATTATTTTTTTGTTGTGCTGTTCGTTTTAGAATTGCTTTTGATTCATGAAATTCCGCCGATACCAAAAAAAATAGCAGTCATGGATCCAGGTCTGGTGAATAAAGAGGTTAAAAGGTCCAATAATTTTTTTTTGCTGATTTAATTATTAATCCGCTCCTGTCAATGTAAGTGCGTACCATGGTGCTTGCGTAATAGCCGATATTTAAACCAAGTAATTGTGCATCGATATTAGGAATTTAATCACAATTATTTGAGCCGTTTTCGAGAAAATCATTAAAAGAATTATTTTAATGGGTTACTTAATTTTAACTTGAGAAAGATCTGCCTTAAAGCCTTTTATAAAATAAAAAAATAAAAACACGCCATTATGCTATCATTTGAGCCCCCTTACTCGCGCCACCTACGCGGCATCTACTTAAAGACGAAAACTCTACTGTGTACTAAAGTGTGGGATTGAATGTAGTGTGCTGTTTTAATGTACTCTTTGTGAATGTCAGTGTACTGTACCCCCAACCTGGAGGGCCAGTGGCTGTTTCTGGTACAATGACTAGGTGATGAAGCAGCCACCTTCCTACGCCAAAAATAAAAACATCGCCACAAGAAGAATATAAAATGGTCGATCGATTTTATTAAAGAGTTGCTATAATATCCTCACTATATAAGTAATTTAAGTTTCGTACAACTTATCTTTTTTAAGTTTGACTATTCTTGAACCATTTTTAGAGACCGTTATTACGACTCGAATATCTCTAGAATCTCCAACCTTAATGTCTAATCCGACAAGACATTTTTGAGATATAGGTATAAATAGAAAAATACGTTTGGGCATGCGCAAGCGAAATTAGAAAGTGCATTTGACAATCTTGGAGCCAACCTGCACAGTATGTTAGTGAACTTATAAAAAACGTATGAACGGTAGTCTGAGATATGCCGGTACACAAATTTGACTGTAAACAGACACGACACCACTTTTTCCTCTTGATTTTAAATAATTATTTTGCAATTATTATATGATGACTAAATCACAAATCATCAATAGTGCGAAAACGGTAGCTCAATTTTAGTTTGTACATTTTAGTGTATTTATGTTAACTTGTTATATCGATTTTGTGATAAATTTATTGCCTCTTTGGCAAGAGGAAGTCAAGCCCATTTTCTTAATTGGCTGTTACGCCATTTTGTTTCCTTTAGAGCATTCTGTGGTTTGTGTGTAAATTACTATTGTTAACAATTGTCAAGTCCGCCAAGGTAAGAAGAAACTTTAAAAAGGTTCTTGCATCACTAGGTTGTTAAGTTGTTTTATTGCTTCCGTTTCCGTCCATCTTTCTTCATACCATTCTCGCGGCCATCTCGATCGAGAAATCATTGGGTTTCGTGATCTCGTCACGGCCATCCACAAATATATAGCTGTTGTTAGTATCGGTGTTTTGAAATATAAGTGTATATTCTTTTTAAAAGGTTTGTGCTGCACTTTTAGATTTCTAGTGTTATGGAAAAAAAATTAATTAATAATATCCATTCATATTATTTCAGTACAATTCAAAACCATCTCGAAATCCTTAATGTTTCATATGTTACAGATTTAATCCAATTAAAATACCTGTCCTTCCCTAATAAACTTAAGGCTCGTCCTAATCCATTTGTCTCTAACCTTGCATCGTCTTCGATTACTGATAACCCTCCGAAGCGTCTGAAAAGATGATGGTCTCGGGACCTTCAAATAAAGAGCAATCATTGGAGTGCTTAGTTTCGCTTGAAGTCGTAAATGTCATATTACAATTCAAATTTATTAGTTGTATTTTAGTAGCAATAATTTAGCATTTCAAGAAATAAATTATAAAATAAAAAATTATGTAAGGCTTGAAATCGTCTTTTTATCAAATATTAGCCCCTGTCATGCACAAATGACATGAATGAGATGTAGTTGGATGTAGAATTTCATTAGGGAAAGGGGAGAGTAGTTAATGAGAATCGCATACATCAGTTTTGTATTTATTTTTGAAAATAATAAATATTTCATTAATTCGGTGAATTGATAGGGACGAATTGGTATTTTAAGACCGGACTTCAAGATCGGGGCAAAAATGTACCGTTTTCGGAATAATGCAAGATTAAGGGTGTACAATCTCACAGGTTCATTGTAGTGTTGCCATGGATTTGTAATATAAATATGGATATATTGAATTTCGTATATTAGGTTCATATGAACGATAGAGGATGACGTTATATGCATTAATTCTTATTAACTGACAATTTTATTATTCTTAAAATTAGCTACTAGGATACGTCGGGAGATATGAATTTTTTATTGTTTAAAAAAAATAATTAAATGTGAAGTAATTTCCATAGGAACCAGGACACCGTTTGTAGTGCCTATTATATCGTCCATTTTTTATGGAGATGAAATTTATGAATGTTCTTGTGAATTTCAACCATATTTATTGATAAAAAACAACACAATAAGTGTACTAAAATGGCCCAAATCCCTTTATATATCAAACATATATAAACATTTATATATAAACATATACTGTGTCGTGTATATATATTTATAAATATCTTGTGATAAAAATAAAACATTATCAGTTTGCCTGACCAACGTAGATTCTCGCTCTGGTGGTTAAGTATGTACCACTAGTTATTTATATCTGCCTTGTCTGCGGTCAAGTATGAGATTAGATTAGAAAGATAGTGTGCCTTCTGTCACCATCTTCCTGTCTTTATATATATATATATATATATATATTTGAGATATATTAGAAAATATAAAATAATAATTTAGTGCTAATTACGAATACCACGTTTGATTTTAATTGCATTGAAATATTTTCCTTGAACTTGGTCGTTTTAAAATTTAAATTCATTCTCTGGAATGCTATTTATATTACCTCTATGCTGTAATAAAAAAAAATTAGCATTCTAAGAGAAGTTAATTGCTGCAAAAAAAATTAATTGTTTTCTGTCTATAATTTATTCAAATTTATATTACTTTTTTTATGTGCAACTTTCCATCTATTTGCATATTTTCTCTGTTGAGATTTTATTATTTTTATTCTTTTATTTGTTCTCCTTTGTAGTCCAGTCACATGATCTTCCTCTTGACCGGTTCTGATTGTAAGTTACGTAATGGGAATTAGAAACTCACAAGTTATTTTTCCTTCTATGAGGTCATGGCAGTGCATATTTTTTCAAGAACAATTTTAATGTTAAATCTGTTTGAGTCATGAAATATTTTCTTGATTATTGACCGTATTTTTTGACATTCAATGTCAATGGTTATAATAATTTCTAATATATCTTTGGCACTATGTTAAAGTAACGAATGTAAACCTCTTAAATGTTTAAATTATGTACGAAATGTGTGTTAAATATGGCCGCTGGCACTCTCGATTTTAACGCACCCTAGGGTCCTGTAAAGTGTAGCTAACTGCGTAAACGTACTGTGAAGGTTATTGTAAGATTTTGATGTGTTTTATTCTTTGTTCTTTGTTTTTGTACAATATCCACAGAAATGGATTGCAAAGACAGCTAGGATTTCATCTATGTATTCATTAAGAACCTTCTGAATCATATGAATCTTTATTCATGCTTTTGCAGTTTTAAAATAAATCAAAACGTTAGTACATCAATTAAGAACACGTAAACTCTGTTTACAGTACAGCCATAACCTTACTATAACTGTTAAAACTTTAGCACATTAATACAGACAGGTTATTTAGCATTCATTCAAAATGTGTACTGACTGCTTAGCATGATAGCACATTAAGCATTTACAACAAGTGCATGAATACTGCTATTATTTTTACATTACCGTATACACCAGAGTTACTTTAGGATAATGGGTGACTATGTACTAGAATTTATTTTAAGTTATTTAGATCATTTGGCGTACTAGAACATTGTTATATCAAGATTAAAGAAAATTTTTCTGAATACAAAAAAGTTTTAGCCCGCCTTACAATTTCGTATTCAAAATAAACTCTATATGAGATTAGATTAAAATGATAATGTGCCTCTCGGCCACCATCTTCCTGTCTTTATATATATATATAAAGATGGTAAATATATTTCGTATAAATGAGATATTTTAGAATATATAAAATAATTATTTAGTGCTAATTACGAACACCATGTTTGATTGTAATAGCATTGAAATATTTTCCTTGAACTTGTTCGTTTTAAAATTTAAATTAATTCTCTGGAATGCTAATTGTATAACATCGATATTGTAATAAAAAAATAGCACTCTTAGGGAAGCTAATTGCTGTAATAGATCTAATACTTCTATTACGTAGTCGCCCCTTTACTCCCAAGTAACCCCGGAATATTTTTTTATTTCTATTAGTGTATTCAATTTTCTCTATGTACTAAGTGTTTGTGATTGAGCCAATTTGTATATATTACAAAATTACAATATGTTTTTTTTTTCGTTTATTAGTAACGGCGTTTCTCGTTCGTGGATTAAGTACAACAGTGAAATGTTCAGTGAGTGATTAGTGGTTCAGGAAAAATGACTCGATGTTTTTTCCTTGTCTGTTGATATTCTTTCATCGAGTCCTTGTACCACCGTATCTTCTTTCTCAATCAATGACAATTTTTTTTTCATAAATATGATTATAAATAATCTATAGTTAAAATTTATTTTCATTTTCACTTTATAATATAGTTCACAAATTAATTGTTTTATTTTTGTTTTTTCCAGAGGAGAAGATGGGCGCTCGGCAGTCTAAGCGGTCGGTGGACATATCGTCGACGCCGAAAAAGGAGAAATTGGAAGGAGGGCAGGAGGAAAAGTTGGAAAAGATCGAAGAAGGAGATGTGAAAGTTCAGAACGGAACGGCAACACACGCCGAAGGAAAGCCTCAGGTAAATAGTTTGGATTATGTATTTTAAAACATATTTTACATATTAAACATGTAGAAGTTTAGGTATTTGGGGTTTATGATAGAAAAAAAAAAATGAATAGAAATTTAAGGCTAGATAAAAGGCGGGAAATGGTTACTATTTTTCAGTTACGAAACTATTTTTCCCTGTTACAGACCAGAGCCCCTTTTTAATCGAAATATTAACATCCTCCTGAAATTTCGTAAATAATTTCATCTCTTCGTAACCTACAAATATTTTATTTACAAAAATCCTTCGAATTGGAGAGTTTTCAATCTGCAGAGGAGCAAACTTTGTCTATTTAATAAGGTACAAAAATCTCGTCTATGCTCATTTGCTTTCAACTTGGAACGTAAGATAATTTTATCGCAAAATCGAGGGAAAAAGTTGGAACTTCAAAAATATTGAGCTGTTTGGCGTCACCTACACCCTAACGAGGTTGTATACACCAAACGGCCCAATATATTTGTAGGCCACCTTTTTTATCGATTTTGTTATCTAATTATCTTACGATCAAAGTAGGAAGCAAATAAGTATCTACGAGTTTTTAGTACCTACTTAAATAGAGACCAAGTTTGCTCCCCTCCAGATTGAAAACGTTCCGATTACAAGAGTTTTCTTAAATTAAATAGTTGTATGTTACAATGAGATGAAACTATTTACGAAGTTTCAGGCGGATTTTAATAATTCGATAAAAAGGAGTCTGTACCACGGACTGTAAATTGTTATTCACCATGTTGTGCTTGTTTATATATGTATTTGAAATATTGTAGTTAGAAGTTCGCGGCTGCTGTCCCTAAACTTATAAATCAAAATTTACAAAATCATTATTCTTCCTGCGTTTCTTTTTATGCATGCGAAACGTGACCGCTTACATTAGCGGGTGAGCAACGTCTTGAAGTTTTTTTAAAGAAAATATTGTGAAGAATATTCGGACGGAAGAAGGATGAGTCAACCGGAGAATTTAGAATAGAATAGAAAATAATTTTGTTCTGGAACAAAGTCCCTTTAGAATAGCAAAATAGAACATAGTTAAAAGACTACATCTGCCCAAAATAAAACAATAATAAAAAAACAGAAAGTGAAGAAAATATTAGTTAAACAAGCTATATACAAAAAAAAAATCTATAAATAAAACATTTAAAATTATGATAAAACACTTAAAACTATGTACAGTAGGAAAAATTATAATTATACACTTTTGAAAAATAAAATAATAAAAAATACATTTGAGTTATTCTTTAAAATGAGGTGTGTTTCTGCTAACAAAGAAAAGACAAAGCTGACAATATAAAATGTCGGAGTATTTAAATAATGAATACGTAGACTCATCATTGTCTAATTCTAGCTATAGGTACAGATTTAATTATATAAGAATAAAAAATAATAAAAAAATAGATGCATTCAGTGGCATTAGGAGCAGGACGATGTTGTAATATCCCTAGTGAAGTTTGCAGTATGGAATAGTACTATCGTTTGACGATGAATGATATAATAGAAATGTATAATATCAAAAGTTTAGCAAGTATAATTGGGATGATTATGCTAAGACTAATAAACTGGTCATGTGTAATTGCCAGGTTTAGTGTCGAAAGAATTCTTGTAATTAATATGCGCTGTATCGACTTGTAGATAGTCCGAGGGGTAGGCCGAATCGAAGGTGGGAAGATTTGCGAGGTTGGTTATGGACGGTACCCCGTGGATGGATAAATGAATGTAGACATCACTTGGTGGTATCGGCATCGAATCTTTGGGTTCGCTGTCCTATTATTATATTTATATATACATATATAAAATCATTGATATAAAGCTTTTTGAACGCACCCGGTTTCAGTAAAGTAGACAGATAACCTTAATTCGCGTGAAAGAAAACTGTGCTAGCAACTTGTCAAGCTGCGTTTACACATTTCACAAACTATGGAAAACTGGAACGTGTAAGTAGGACGTGTTTCTCTAGACTAGTGTTTGTGCCCGTCTATTTGTGACCGATACATTTGTTGTCGGTTTTTGAAGAGAAATCTAAATTGGTTTGGATTAGTAATAGTGTCTCAATTATATATTTCTTTTCTGTTTTGTTGCTTGAGAGATGTTGAATTGTTCTTGGGACGATTAAGAAAAATACCAATTCCAAAGTTCGCCGTTGTAGTTTTTCTGAGACAACGGAAATGTGCAAATTCGCTGGATTTTTTTTTGTGTTTGTGTATTTCCAATGGTTTAGAAACGTGTTTACTCGGCTTTATTCGTCAATGCTAAACTACATCATTGCAAAGCAAATCTTTACTGAAGACGTTGTATGTAAGTAATTATTCACCAAGTACTCAAAACCAGCCCGTTAAGTTTTATATTTTAGAGGTTTTTACCATTTTAAAGATTACATCATACTGCAAAAAAATAAACAAAAAAAAAAATAGAATGCTCCAATTAAAAATTATTAATCTTCTTTTCTTGTTTTATTTTTATCTTTAAAAAAAAGCGTGATGTAATTTCTTGGAAAGACAGTATTCTGGTCGTTACAGTTTTACTGGGAAAACTCTTTGTTGATAAAATATTGCTATGTTATTTTATTATTTATTTTATATAATACCATAGTATTATTAATAAAAATACTATATATTCTGACGTGATTTTACAGTCACATCTCTGTATATTGAACTTCCATGTATAAAAAATATCAAATTTATTTATTTAATTTATTTTTAAGCTGCTCTTGTATTTTATATGAAAATATTACTTTTTTATATATGAAGAAAATATTCTACTCATTTCGAATAAAATATCTTTAATTTCTCGAACAATAAGTCTCGTTTAAAAAAAAAAAAAATATCAAATATGATTGTCATCGATAATTGCCCTTTGTTTTCGTTTACAAGATCGAGTAATGATTGATAAAGATTAAAAAAAAAAAATTAATTCGTAGAATTTTCGTGTTCGAAGAGTAAAGGTTCAAGTGTATTTTGCAATACACTATTACTATTATACACTATTATTACTCGTAATTTGAGTAACTGTCCCTTGCAAGACATACTCAAGACTAGATGTCTCCGAACGTTTTTGGCCTGTACTGAGACTTCCAATTAAGGCCCAAGGGCCATTATATGTTTTGAAAAAAAAAAATATTTGTTCTATAAATGACACTTGACGCTTTGAAGAAAAAAAATATGCAGTAAATGTTGTAATTGCCTCGTGTGTATGTAATTTGTTAAATTACATATTTTAATATAGTTTTCAAAATGTTGCCATGTAATCAAAGAAACTTTCGCGAGCCGTAGTTTGGAGACTCTTGCGCTAGACAAATACTGTTAAGAAGAAATTATGATAAAAAAAACTTGCAACGAAACCCTCAGACTTGATAACTATGGTTGCTATTTTACTATATAAATGTTGTTTAAAAATAATTGATATAAAAATGCTTACAAATTAGTTCCTTCAACGTTGTTCAACTCATTCCTATTGTTTTCCCGCTCTGAGTAATATTTCTGCAAAACAAACTGTGACTCATCAGAAACTAATTGAGTCAGATAACGATGACACCTTGTTTTTCTTTTATGTTTGTTGCCAATTGTTTAATGAATCATTCGCAGGTTATGTATAAACAATTAACATTAAATTATAATTAAATAACATAATAGTAATGTCAAAATGATTTTATTTCGAAATTAATATATAAAAATAATTAGGGGCTCCGCCAAACCTTCAAATTCCTCTCGCATCCAATCCTTACAATCCAAAATCCTTCGTAAAATCCTCAATGCTCCTTACTTTGTTACAAATAAAATTATCCATAATGACCTTAATGTTCCTTATGTATCAGATTTGGACCAATCCAGATATCTGTCCTTCCATAATAAACTTCATAACCATCCCAATCCTCTTGTCTCTAACCTTGCTTACTATTCAATTCCTGATAACCCTCCCAGGCGTCTGAAAAGAAGATGGCCACGTGATCTTCTAATATAGACATATTATTAGAGTGCTACCAATGGGTAGTTTCTCAACATGTGTTCCATGTCATTATATCCATGTGCGAATTTACCAGATGAATTTTTTGTATACAGTTGTAAATATCATATAAATAAATTTAAAAAAATAATTCAGGATATTATAGAAGTGTAATGGGTAGTTGTTTCAAATATGATGGTAAAATATATTTACTTAATTTAAAAAATAGATAATTTTATTTTCCTTATTATAAAGTAAACCAAAAAAATTTATCGGTTTATTGCGAAAAGTCTTTAAATAAATTGCGATAGAGATAAATACGTTTTTGTGAATTTCGACCTCAATTATTTACACTAGGGAGTGGAGTAGCTCAATGGATAAGGCACTGAATTTCTAAGCATATTAGGTCTTGGGTTCGAATCCGGCTAATGGCAGATAATTATTTATTATGTTTTATCGGCCGTGATCGGAAAACCCTCACCCTCTTGGCCTGGCCCACACCTTGCCTATATAAAGTGGTCGCCCTTAATTAAGGAGAAAAACTAGATATCGGCCTGATCACCACCTTCCACAGCCGTTGGCCTTGAAAAAGTACTTACTTACTAAGTGTCTAGTACCTTTCGTTAGTTGTAGTAGTATAAGTTTTTATATATATTTATATTTATACAATAACACAGTAAATGCATCAAAATGACACATATTTTATATCAAATATTGAGTACTTCAGTACTGGAGACATGCCCATATGTTTGGGTTGAAACGTCGGCATTAATAAAAAATCTCAAAATGACTGCTTTCTGATTACTTATCTGCTGTTATATCAAATATAGTTAGTTACACTAAGTGTACTGGTACAAGAGTTGAAGTGGCTATATCCTACTTCCTGACGATAATTCCTGCTTGGTGTTTTCCTTTTCCAAGTCTTCAGAAACAAGTACCCTCCCTACATCCTGGAACTCCTCACTCTACGCTCCTCTATCCACTCTCTTAATTAGGTCTCAACCTATAGACTTATATATCCCCTCCCATAAAACTACTTTCTT